GGATTGATTCAGTGACTGGGATAATCAGGATGGGTCTGTCAGAGGCAATGAGATTGGCACAGGATAGAGCAGGGTTTAGGGCTGTTGTTCATAGGGTCGCTGTGAGTCGCAAACGATTCAATGGCACATAACAACAACAATTTCCATGGCCATTGATTACAGCTCCAAGTAAAAGGAAATCTTTTACAACATCAATTATTTTTAACTTTATTACTGATAGAGTTGTGAAGATTTTGCTGTTGTTGTTGTTGATGTGTAATCTAAAGTACTACAGAGCAATGGTGTCACACTGGATACTAAGGTGCACCTGATACAGGCCATGGTCTTTGCAATCACTTGGTATGAATCAGGGAATTAGACAATGGCTAGGAGTGATAGAGGGAGAATTGATGTCTTTGAGCTGTGGTGTTGAAGAAGGGTGCTGAATATACCATGGACTACTAAGAAAACAGATTCATCCTGTAGAGGGTTAAACTAGGCTGCTCCTTGAAGGCAAAGATTCTGAAGCTTCGTCTGACATATGTTGGACATGTTTCAAGGAGGAACCAGTCCTTGGAGAAGGATGTCATGCTTGAGTGTGGAGGGACAGCGCAGGGGAGGAAGACCCTCTATGAGGTGGATTGATTCACTGACTGAGGTCATGCATATAGATGTGTCAGAGACAATGAGATTGGCACAGGATAGAGCAGGGGTTAGGGCTATTGTACAGAGGGTTGCTATGAGTCACAGACAACCCCACGGCACATAACAACAAACAACAACAAATTCATATTCATCTTTATCAGAAAGTGTTTCAAGTCCTCAGACCACCACACCTAAGGGGGGGGGGTAAGTTTAAAAAAAAAAAACCCACACCAAAAAACCAAAACAAAACAACAAGAACAAAAAACCCAAAACTAATATCTTTTTCAGTAGATATCTTCTTCAGTAGAACAAAAATTTCAAAACCTTGATTTTATGACAGATTATATTCCACCTGCAGTTCCATGCTTGTACATGCATTGATTCCTGTTAAATCATCTTCATTTTCTATTACAGACAGAGTTCGCATAGAGAGCCAAGTCTTTTCAAGTCTAAAAGATTGCCTGGCTGCTGGGCAAGAAGAACTCATCCTTTTGCAAGAGAAAGTCAAGAGTGGGAAAATATCTGTGGATGAAGCACTGGAGAAATTTAAACACTGGCAGATGGGGAAAAGTTGCTTGGAAATGATTCAGCAGGTAATATTGACTCTGACCCTTCCTGAAAAGTTTCCTAGCTGTAACACCTCCTTCTTTCTTTGCAGTTATTTAGTTGAAATAACAATAATAAAAAATATTTATTTTATTTATGTCATGCTTCTCTCCGAACTTCTTGTGAAACTGTTCCTTCCTTTTTGTAGATAACAAAAATTCTTTAGAACCATGTAGCGCCATTGGTGCATTATCTACCTTTATGATTCTAGAAGACTTTGTTTTCATCCTGTCTTTGTTTGTTTTCACTAGATTGTTAGAGTATCCATTGAGGTTACTAATCACATCTATCAGTCACATGTCTGATCTCTTTAGCAAAAGATTTATGACCATATCCTTGGTGCTCTTTCCAGGGCAGATTCTCTTAATTTTCACGAGTTCTTTCCAAATCTTTAAATTCTGGTTTCTTTTTTAAACAGTTTTTCAAAAGGAAGAAATATCTCCCATAGGTGGCTGAGTCCAACTTCTTCCTGCTTCCTAAAGGGGAACTTTATCCATCAATAATACCCATAGTAGCAAACAGCTGCTAATTCAGACACGCCACTACCTCATGCTCCTGCACCTATTTCCACCAATCATTTGGTTCGACATTCATTGACTCACAAACTTTACTCACACTGGTGGTTTGGAGAGTGGGCTTCATTAAGGAAGTTAGCGTGTGGAGAAGACAAAGAGTATCACCCAATGCAAACCCAGGGTTAAGCAATCCCAACACATAAATCCTCAACTATTCCAGACTCAGGTTTCAGTTCAGCAGGCAATTTTTCATTCAATCAGTCAAGCAAACAAAACTTTAACTGTGGCCTTTACCTTAGGGCTCCTCTTGTTATACCTTGCCACAGTTTCACCACTGCCATCACCAGGGTCTCACTCTCATTAGAGTCTTGCTGAAATCTCCCTCAAGTCTTGCTGCTCATTGTGGGAAGGACAGTCTCTCTTATCTCAACACAACAGCTGTTGATGATTTGAAATACAATGTGTCTACATTTATGGTAGCTGGAGACCAGAGGGAGGTAAAGTAATGGCTATAAAAGCCAACTTTTAAGCTAACACTATAAGTTTATACCTCAATTAATCTCTATTTATCCACATTTTATTATAAACAATGTGGAGAAAACATTTTACTCCTTTAAGCTCTTGCTTAGAAATTTGAGCCATTCATAATTTACAAATTGTACTACAAACAAACCCAAAGGTTGCTGTGTGCCATGAAGTCAGAACTGAACCATAGCTAACCCTTCTGTGAGTTTTCAGCAGGATTTGATGGCATGAGAGGAGATTGTTTATCCTTCTCCCACAGAGGAGCTGGTGAGTTTGAACCATGTGTCTTTAGGATTGCAGTGCAGGTGCTTATTATGACTAAGCTACCAACAATAGTCAAGTTCATCATTTATATATTGTGCTGTAACCCAAAGGCACATGGTTTATGTAAGATTAACTAAGTCTGAAAACCACTAGAATATCAGCTAGGGTCAGTCCCTATTAAACAGCATACAGCAACAACTTCCAAATAGGGAATTTTGGTTGCCTACTGAAGAAGGAGTCTCATAACCAATCCAAAGGTGGTAGTTGTTGTTCTTATGTGCCGTCCAGTTGCTTGCGACTCATAGTGACCCTATGTACAACAACCCTAAACTCTGCTCGGTCCTGTGCCAATCGCACTGTCTCTGACACTCCCATACCGACTATCCCAGTCACTGAATCAATCCACCTCATAGAGGTCCTTCCCCTCCTGCGCTGTCCCTCCACCCTCCCAAGCATGATGTCCTTCTCCAAGAACCGGTCTCTCCTCACAACATGTCCAAAGTATGTCAGACGGAGCCTCAGAATCCTTACCTCAAAGGAGCCACCAGATTTAACCCTTTCCACGATGAATCTGTTTGTTTTCCTAGCAGTCCGTGGCACCCTCAATACTCTTCTCCAGCACCACAGCTCAAAGGCATCAATTCTCCTTCTATCCTCCTTTGTCATTGTCCAACTATCGGATGCATAACAAGTGATTGCGAAGACCATGGCCTATGTCAGACATACATTAGTCTCCAGAGAGACACCATTGCTCTTCAGTACTTTGGACAGATCCCTAACAGCAGACTTTCCAATGGCAATGGACCTTTTAATTCCCTGGCTACTGGTGCCAAGAGTGTTGACTGTGGAGACAAGCAAACTAAAGCTGTGAACAATCTCAATCTCTTCATCATCAATCCTGATGCTGCCAATTGGTCCAGTGGTGAGAATCTTTGTCTTCTTGACATTGAGCCTCAATTCATATTGGAGGCTGTAGTCCTTGACCCTCTGCAGCAGGTGCTTCAGATCCTCCTCAGTTTCAGCAAGCAGGGTTGTGTCATCTGCATAACGCAGATTGCCGAAAGATCTTCCACCAATCTTGACCCCACATTTCTCCTCATAGAGCCCAGCCTCCCAGATAATCTGTTCTGCATACGGGTTGAAAGGGTATGGAGATAGGATGCATCCCTGGCATATGCCCTTCCCAATTTTG